CTACGAAATGAGAAATTTTTAAGAAGCACACTAGATTAATCAATAAACACTTTATTCTCCACATGATGTCACATGAGCATCTACACCTTCTTTAACTAATTCTTTCTTTTTACAAAAAGCATTTATCAATAATACAATCAAATCAAAGTTTAAGTATTTATAAGGGACTACTAAAAAAAAGAGATGAAGTGTCTACATTTATTGATTTTGTTTTCTGCATCACGAGCTCGACATAACTTCAAGTGCTAAATCTTGGTAGTATCGTTACATCCAAGCAAGGAGCCTAAACACTAAGCGAAGCTGACTAGTGTGGTCAGATATATCAACAGAAAATCACAAACACTATACAAATAAACAGTTTTGAATCATGCCCGTTGCATAAAAGGTTGCTCACATAACCAAGGAGCCTAGTATATAACGCTTTGGCATTTCAAGCAATGCAATGCCGGGTTCAAATTTCACTGTGAAAAGCATGTCTGTCTGCCTGTTTTCGAAATAGAACTTTGCACCGATGTGCGGAAGTTCAAGTCGTCACACTCCATGTAGCACACAAAGCAAGAGAAGAAATACAAAATAGAGACAGTAAACAGAGGTGTGAGACTAGGGAATATTAATAACGAAGAACAATATAGTTTCATTGGAAATCACAAGTCACAAGGAGTGGATGCATCTGACCCAGCCACTGAGAACGATTTTGAGCCATATCACCAATTGTTTCCAGCCTTCATTGGTTTTCACCGTCCCGAGGACCCCAACCAAGAAGTCTGCACCTTCCTACGTGGCTTAGACTAACTGTCGTGGATTTCATTGACTGGTGCAGCCATGTTTTGGTTTGACCGCCACTAGCTCTTTTCCAGCCTGACATATGTCTCCTAACACTGCTCGTCGAGGAAGGCGATCGAAAGCTAGGCATACGTAACATATGTCTTAACCATCTCAGTTGATGTAATTTCAAAGCCTCGTCGATTGATTTCACCTCCTTACCTAGCACTCAATGCCTTACCTCAAACTTGCTCACCATATTATACCACTGCACACGGGAGATAGAACGCAGGCACCTACGATCAAAGACAGCCAGCCTTTTCATGTCTTCCCCTCTCAATGGCCACGTCTCGCAGCTATAAAGGTGGACGGAGCGGAGTTCTGAGCAGTACAAACGCCCTTTGGTCGATAGCCAGATATCACGTCTACACCAGAGACGGTGTAGACTGGCATATGCGAAACTAACCCTCTGTGTCCGTGCTGAGATTTCGTCGAAGATCAACCCGTCGTCACTGGCTGATGGTACTTCCCAAATAAGTGAAGCGGTCAACGTGCTCTACCACTTTACTCTCTATTTCTAAACTAGGAGTCAGTGTAGTCCAGTCCTGTAACATCATCTTACATTTGGCGGGAGCTAATCGCATGCCAAACATTCGTAGATTACAGCTCAAGGTGTTTAGAAGACTGCATTTTGTCAGCGTCCTCGCCTAGAAGGACTATATCATCTGCATACTCTAAGTCAACGAGATTATTCCTTGGTAGCAATTCATAAACTATCACTTACTGAAGAGCAAACACGTTCAACTAAGAAGTCCCAAAAAGGAAGAAATGCGCATCCCTGATTGTACTACTAAGCCTCACCAAACAAGTAGCTTCGGTGAGGGATATTATTCTGACGAACCTACCAGTAAAGTAATACTTGACTAGTTATGATACCACTTGGCAAAGATATCTATCTTGAAATAAGTAATTCATGCACTTAGTTTTCTTTATCTCTTTTGAAGAATAATTAGTTCATCAAGGGTTAATTTGAAGGTCAAAAGGAAACCAATAGGTATGTGTATGACAAATATGTATATAGAAACTGTGAGAAAGATAACCATCTGCTGGACATGTGAAGACACATGCAGCGTCAAAAAGCTGTTTCACATAAATTATGTTATGCAACATACACAGATTCATAAACGAAATTGACATCTTAGACATAGTTTATTAATTTTTTCAATTGTTACTCTCCGGTACCTACTGGATAAACAATTCAACTATATCAGCAGAAAAAAATCTATTATTGTTTATTAGCATTATTATTCTTTTCGATTCCGAGCGGAATATAGGGCCTCAATAGCATATCTCCACTTCATCCCGTTATCTGTAGTATTTTTAATTTGGCTACAGGATCGCTCATAATCTCTCATTTCCTCCTCACAAGATCTCCTCCAAGTCACTCTCAGATGCTCAACTCGTAGTTTACCCTTCGCGTTTTACTCGAGTGCATGGCAGGCGATTTCACTAAACAGTCACTCTCTATCTGCATATCTGTTAAGCAATAGGTTTTTGGTTGGTTCGTTGCAAGAATTCCTTGTCGTTGACCCTTTCCGTCTACCTGATCTTCAGTTGTCCAGACAGCGAAGGTAGATGTTGATGACAGTTTGCAGTAGCCTTTTTGAAATGCTTTTAGTGACACATGTCTTTGAAATATATCGTTCAGAGACTTGGCGCATATAATCATCAGACATTGACCGAAAATAATCTAATGAAAAGTGCTATTTATCAAAGTAAAAGCAGACACTGACAGAGGTCACGTTCACACTTGGGAAAAATTGAGCTCAAAGGACACCAGTTACAAGATTTATAGTTCTCTCTTATTCTCCCTCTGTCGTTATATCTTTATTAGTCCCTACGAAAAGGATACTAATACATTGTGAAATTGCTTACAACGGAAGTCATCCATAGTTTCTCATTCGACCAAAACTTTAATTCATACTGACACAGTGGTAGTTTAACATAATATACAGTAACAGTAATAACTCGTATAAACAATATTGGCATGAGTGATACATATTTCACCGACAATAAAGTCGAAAACAAACTTATTTTGGTACAAATATCGAAAATGTTATTCAGTTGTATGTCTAGGCATGGATTGCTCCAACTAATACATATACTATCATATATTATTTTATCAAATTAAAACATACTGTTACCAAACGACAGAAAACCCAATGAAGCTATATAGTCAAGTTAACATTTGAATACACGAAAGATAAACTAACTCGTCCAGGAAAGGTATTCTCAGCTTTTCAAGTCAAGTCATGTATACAATATTATAAATAGCTTATGAGAAAGACAGTTCCACTAACCATCAAAAATAACAGAATAAAAGTCTCGAGAAGGTACAGAGATACACATTTCCAGATATTTTACAGAGGAAATTTAAAAGTAGAATGATAAAAATTCAATAACCTGGCCGATGATATAGCCAGCTAGAGTATGCTTTACAAACTAGTGACATTACGTAGCTCGGAAGAGTTCAAAATAACGGAGATGTAACTTTCAGACCTAAGGAATATTCGTCTTATTATTCTCTTCTAAATAAGTCTTTATACATGGTTGTTTTATCACATATATTTTTTCCATTCTTATGTTTACTAGAAGTGTGATAGCTGGGACTGATGTACTTTCGTTAGTCACCAGAATAGATTATTATGAAAGGTTAAGGGTTTTAGGGTAATGAAAAAAGTAATTTAGAAGTGTTTACCCACACATGATTTTAACTGTTGGTGATTCAATTATTGTGTCATATGGTGTTATGTTATGTTGATCGGCTGATGAAACAGTGTGGAACTTCGCAAAGACGTACCTCGATTTAAATAGGTATACTTCAGAAACCAACACATAAACAGCCTAAATTTAGTGACACGACAATTCAAAAACTTGTATAGAACAGTGTTTCAATGAAAAGTTTAGTTTCGTGTTACAACTCAGTTACCAGGAACAGATTTTAAATGAACCAGGTTAGGAGCCACAATTGTTATGTTAGGAGCTAGTGATACTATCCAGTTAACCAGGCTGAAGTAGGTGCTGCTGAATTCGAACCCATAGCATACAGTGGCATTATATCCCTATGAATGAGCTGTTGTGTCTGTGATTTTGTAACCACCGACACCACATAATTTCACAATTTAACATTCACTGTAATTTTATATGATGATGCTTTAGTATGAGATATGATGAGGTAGCTAGGTTTTGACATAAGTGCAAACTGTTGCACTACTATCCGGTGAAAAATGATAAAAACACAATCATTTTTATGGTCACGAAAAAAGCACCACACGGAAGAAAAAAGAAAATCTATAGATAAAAATAGATCTGTGTACAGTTACACTCAATGGTACACAAGTATAGACTAGGTAACAGCACAGAAACTATAATCCAACAGATATCTAAAATGCCCCAATGAACAACTAACCATAAGAGCTAATCGAACATTAGATGATATTGACTGTAAAAATAACACAAATGTATAAGTGGGATGGAAAGCAATGCTTCTAAATATTAATGTGCTATTAAGGCTGTTGGTCTCACACATATTAGCACTAACTAATTTATTCACACAAGCAAAATCTATCACTGCAATCATTTGGAATTTATAGGCATTGTAGCATACAAGCTTATTCAAACAATAAGAACTTATTACGTGTATACACAGAATGGTAAAACAGCACACAAAAAGTATGGTAAATACAGATGTACACATAGAGCCAATTAAATTGTAAACGAAACTTCAACTCACCCAGTTATTCTTAACAGTAAACAAACTATTTAACATCTGCAATTTACAAGGATTATCTTCTTAAGACCGATATGAAACGAATCATGCATTTCTGATGTCTTCTCTTATCAAATACGCATTTTCTGCATCATCACAATGCTTAAATTGTCTAAACTTAATAAACTATATCGACTGAGTAATACGAGTAAAGGGCACCAGTCAGCTAGCTATAAGAAAGTTTATACAGGTTGATTTTTTCTGATTACAGAGACTGCTTCATTAGAAAAAGATACCACTACTAACTGGAAAAAAACAACAAATTATGCTATCATATAATCATTTAAAGGGGACATTTTGTAGTTTAGTGAAAGCCAATTTAATGAGTTAATAAGGTGATTAAATTTTAAAGTCCCAGATTCCAAAAGAATGCATGAAGAAATTCGATAAACACGTAAAACCGTCATACCTTTTTTCCTTTAGACTGACTTTTGCCTCTTTTCAGCATAACTGTTTGATCAGATAACTTCGTCTGATTTAAACCACAGATACCAGCTTGTATTACTGGTTGAGAACCGAAATTTTGGGGAGTAGGTGGATGTTTATCGCCACACGCTGACCGTATAGACTTTAAACGACCATTTACCACATATGCAAAATATTTAGCTTCCTCAAGAGATGCAAAAGCAATTCCGACTGGTCCACTGTCTGATTGCAATACATGAAAATGTCTAAGTTGTTCAGTATAATCCATTTCCAAAAAAAGTCTTTGTTCAAAGATAAGGATTTTCCTCTGTAAGAAGAGAATATGCATTGGCACTGAATGATTGAGAGAGACTTACAATTATGTCATACATTCTGATGAAGTAGTCTTTATAGTTTCTGTCTTTTATGCAACAAGCAACTCCACAAGCTTTAAACACCCAATTTGATTCATTTTCGCCCTTGTAATATCGTACCACAGCAGAAGCTAACGAATCGCATCCAGTTCCGAATAATGAATTTAATATAATATTTTCTTCACTAGTCAGTAGAACCGAAGTTCCACCTCCTTGGGCGGACTATGAAAGATGAAATGCAAACAAGTCAAAATAAGGAAAAAGAAAATTATACATAAGTGGCCCTACATAATCGAGATAAAAACAGAATCTTGGAACCTTACAGAACCTCTGAAAACCACTGACCCCGATTAGACTCCATCAATAGATGAATCAGAATACAGAGTCTACGAAACACTACAATTTCGCACCAACATACAAAGATAAAGAAAAGCCATACCACGAGATAAATAAAAGGAATTCACACCCGTACACTTCAAGCGGCTTGTCTTAAATAGTGACAAAATATGATGTCACCTCAATTATCAATCATGCATTGGTCAAGATTTGGAATGACAATAGACGCACAGGAATGGTTGTCCGCAATTTGATAAAATTCGTGAACAAGACCGGTCATAACCCCACATACTGTAGTTTTATTCACCAACTAACCAACATTTTCTCAACAGACGAAAATTCTTTGGGCAAATGAGTGGTTTAAAGTCAAGTAGAAGTAAGGAAGAGAAGAACTAATTAAGCACTTTAGATGGAATTTCGGTGATTTTCTGATAATTTGAGATCTGCTAACTATTAGCGTGAAGTACGACCAAAGGTGAAAGAAATAATTCATACAACCAAGTAATCAGAAGTCAGACGGTATAAAAATACACAATAATGATATCATTAGACAGTTTGGACATTCCTAATGGCGACTAGGATTCTGTTTGTTGTATATAACATTTGTGAAAATGCTACCGCTACGCCACCGAAACTCTTTCATTTCAGCTTTGTTTGTTATCCTAAAGCTAAAAGAGGTGAAGTCAGTACTTATTAAATTCCTTAGCACGAGCTGGTGAATACAATCTACTTAAATGCTGTCTTACATCATAATATCATTCCCTTCTTAGACAAAGGAGCTAAATATGCCCGATGTACCTCCCTTGACCACACAACCGTTTTTGACTCTATGCCAGACGCCTTCAGTTAAATAAGCTTTGCCTGACATAAATAAGGTCTTGGGTTGTTAACTGGTTATAATCCTATTTCTCTGATAGAAGGCAGTATGCTGTATATAAAGGCAGATCTTCTGCTTTGCTTACTGAAGCTAGGATCCCTCAAAGTGCTGTTCTCTTTTTCTTTTTTCTATCTTCTTACATGACTTGCCTCTTTCACACGAAACTAACTTCTTTAAATGTTTCAGATGTGACTATTTCTCAGCCAGTTACGTTCTAATCCGACTGTCTCAAACTCAATGGCTTTTGTTGGACATAAGTCATTGGTCTAAAGCTAAATGGTCTTATCCTACATCCCTCTAAACGTCAAACAGTTGACTTCAACTTTATGCATAAACGTGATATACACGAGCTGGTCCGCTCAAAAGATGCTTGTAATATATAGGGCACTGAAACAGAAACTAAATCGAGCATTAAGCACCCTTCTTTTACAGCTTGATTCTACACTGTATTTTTGGTACAAGTATGGGATTTTCAGCATGGATATCAGTAGCCCAAATTTGCAGGCCGACCATAGATATCGGGTGTGCGTCGGCCGAGGATCGAACCTCGGATCATGTGCACGGCCGGCGAGAGTACTAACCACTGTGCCACCTTGGAATAGTTCTATTCCCTGACCTTTCTTGGTCGTCCCATATCTCGCCTATCTCTAAGAATAATGTTCCGTCTAACCTACTACATTATGAAGTAAAAACAATCAGGAGTCGCTCTACCTCTAATTTCACAATTCGTTAACTTTGCATCTTACCTATAATACTTTGATGCTCCCCTTTGGTTATTCATGGGCTACTCAAAAAGGACTGTCATATTGAGCACAGTATTGAAGGTTATCGGCATGGCAAGTGGTGTGCCACTAAGTCAGGTCATTTCTACTGCAGACAATAAATATTTGAACTCATCAGAAATTTCTTTTCAACGACTTCATTTTCAAGCTGTACAGTCGTATTTATATTACAGAAAAAGGTTATTAAGTGGCACTAAATAATTGCTCAGTCAATGTACGTATATATGTGATAAAAGTTATAAGGGGTAGAGTTGAAGTGGATAAATTACAAAAATATTAAAGATTGTTCGATAACAAAAATGTCAAGTGTTGTCTAAAAATTTTGAAAATTAGGAGTACGATTACGATAAGAATGAAGATGTGAAGTGAAGTGGAAAGAATTCAAGTGGCAAAATAAAATAAAAACTAGAAAGAACATTATTATGACCAAGGTAAAGAAAGGGGTTTGACAAAACGCTTTTGAACACATAATTTAGGTTTCTGTTCATGTATAGCTAAAGCTTCAGCTATGCATAAGTGAAGAAAACGTAAACTTTTGGATCGATTCGATTTTGCCATGTATATAACTTTGAAAGATGAATCACGTGGGGCTAAATGACCAGACTCTAACAGGTGATCACAAATAGACGACTTTGTAGTTCTACGTTCGCCTTTCATTAACCAAACCGGATAGTGTTCAGCTACACGTTTTCGGAGATTACGCTTACAACGTCCAATATAAACAGCTCCACAAGAGCAACTAAAAGAGTAAATGCACATAGATGTAGACAAAAGCGGTAATCTATTCTTGACGCATTGTCTGATCATATTTCGGCTGGTAAAAACTAGTTGCAGGTCAGCTGCAGGAAAAGTGCGTTTAACACATTTAGATAAACGACTTTTAATCAATTCTGAAATGGTGTCACCTTTGAATGCAAGACTCATAAACAGCTTTTTCTTTGGTACTGTGACTTGTCTCGGGGCGGATTCTTTCTTGATGTTACGTTCAATGAACCTTGTGGGATAACCATTGTTAAGGAGATTTGACCGAAGGTTATCTAGTTCCCTATCAATTGTCTCTGCAGAGCAGATTTTAAATAAAATAAATATACTGAAAAGTTGTAAAACAATCGAATCTCACTTTAAGTTTCCGGATTCGCCAGAGAAATACGTTTTTAAGTATTCTAATTTAACTTTGTCGGATATTCAAATGCAAATCCTATCTCTGGGTCTGACGTTCTCTACTGTTTCGTCCAGAGTCAACGAATAAGACACAAAAGTTCAGTTTGAAAATCTCATGAATCAAACACATGACTTGAGTCCAATGTCTAGCGAAGACGTTGAACAATTCAAATCTTCATTACTTCATTGTTATTACCAGTACCAAAGAACGCAAGGCAGACAACGACAAATGTTATCAAAAGAACACAAAAGACAACTAAATGAATTGCTTAACAACAAAAACATAATACTGATTCGTCCAGACAAGGGATCAGGTATTGTTATTCTTAATCGTGATGATTGTGTCAATAAATTATGTACCATCCTGAGTGATGAAGAAAAATTTCTAAAATCACCCGATCAAAAGGACAAGACAGATAATATTGAGAAGGAATTATCTAAAACTTTGACGAAATTGAAGCAATAACGCATCATTACTCCATAAATGTATGAACAGCTTAAACCATCTGGTTCAACTATCCCTCGTTTATATGGTCTTCCAAAGGTGCACAAAGATGATGTCCCTCTGCGACCTGTATTGGATATGCTGAATTCACCGTATCACTCTACCGCTAAATGGCTTGCGGAAATTCTTGAACCAGTTAGATTAAATATATGTAAACATAGTCTTTCCGACACTTTTGACTTCGTCAGTTGTGTTGATGAAATTAATGTGACTGGTAAGCATATGATTTCGTTAGATATTTGTTCATTGTTCACAAATGTACCACTAGTAGACACTCTCTGCTATCTATGCGAGTATATTGATTCAAATAGCATGAACATTGGCTTACCAACTGATTATCTTAAACAACTACTATTGAGATGCACACTGAATGTGCAAATTAAATTTAATGATGTCATCTACAACCAAAGGGATGGAGTCGCCATGGGGTCTCCTTTAGGACCGCTCTTAGCGGACGTTTTCATGGCAAGCTTAGAGAATGGCCCACTAAAGGAAACCATCGATAGTCTGTTTATGTATAAAAGATATGTTGATGATACCTTCATTGTATGTGATGAAAACACTTCAACTGCCGAACTTCTTAGAATATTTAATGGTTCTCACCCATCTTTGCTTTTCACGATCGAAGAAGAGTCGGATTCTTCGTTTCACTTCCTTGATGTTAAGCTAGATAGAAGAGAGAATGGAACGCTTCTAAGGTCGATTTACCGAAAGCCAACATTCACTGGGCAGTACACTAACTTCAACAGTTAGGTACCTTTAGGGAGAAAGAGAAATCTTATTCATTCCTTATGCTCCAGAATTCGTAAAATCTGCTCTGCAGAGACAATTAATAGGGAACTAGATAACCTTCGATCAAATCTCCTTAACAATGGTTATCCCACAAGGTTCATTGAACGTAACATCAAGAAAGAATCCGCCCCGAGACAAGTCACAGTACCAAAGAAAAAGCTGTTTATGAGTCTTGCATTCAAAGGTGACACCATTTCAGAATTGATTAAAAATCGTTTATCTAAATGTGTTAAACGCACTTTTCCTGCAGCTGACCTGCAACTAGTTTTTACCAGCCGAAATATGATCAGACAATGCGTCAAGGATAGATTACCGCTTTTGTCCACATCTATGTGCATTTACTCTTTTACTTGCTCTTGTGGAGCTGTTTATATTGGACGTTGTAAGCGTAATCTCCGAAAACGTGTAGCTGAACACTATCCGGTTTGGTTAATGAAAGGCGAACGTAGAACTGCAAAGTCGTCTATTTGTGATCACCTGTTAGAGTCTGGTCATTTAGCCCCACGTGATTCATCTTTCAAAGTTATATACATGGCAAAATCGAATCGATCCAAAAGTTTACGTTTTCTTCACTTATGCATAGCCGAAGCTTTAGCTATACATGAACAGAAACCTAAATTATGTGTTCAAAAGCGTTTTGTCAAACCCCTTTCTTTACCTTGGTCATAATAATGTTCTTTCTAGTTTTTATTTTATTTTACCACTTGAATTCTTTCCACTTCACTTCACATCTTCATTCTTATCGTAATCGTACTCCTAATTTTCAAAATTTTTAGACAACACTTGACATTTTTGTTATCGAACAATCTTTAATATTTTTGTAATTTATCCACTTCAACTCTACCCCTTATAACTTTTATCACATATATACGTACATTGACTGAGCAATTATTTAGTGCCACTTAATAACCTTTTTCTGTAATATAAATACGACTGTACAGCTTGAAAATGAAGTCGTTGTAAAGAAATTTCTTCGCTGAACAAAAACTGTGTTTTTACTTATGAATAAATGGGTATTTTTCATGAGAAATTGTCTAAATCTATTGTTTGACTCTCAACACCCTCTTTAATCTCGACTCTTTCCTTGCGTCTCTTCAGGTAGCACTAGAATTCATTAAAAAATATCATATGCTATTACAATAAGGTACAAAAACTCAACGACACCCAACATGGCCAGCGTTCCATGTGATACAGAAAGTGTTAAGCGTGAAACCTACGATTTACTACGCTATTAGCAAAATAATTGGCTCTTTTATCCTCTCTTATTTATAATCTATGGTGAAACTACTTCAATTACCCTATAATTTTAGTTATTAACACTGTTATCATCATTTTACACCTTTTATGTATTTTCGACTTTATCGTCACTGTTAATACGAATAAGCTGCTATTGTCACTCGTGGTTATGTGTATCCTATAATATTTCCTTTTGTTTTTGCTGCTGTTAAGTGAGTTATGTGTAGTACTATACCAAATCCTGAAAATTCTATGCAGGTAAGCACCGTTTTGGAATAAAGCATATTATGTTGTGATGATCGGAGTTGCACTAGTTAGACCACTTAAATGAGCCATCTCATCAATGAAAGTTCGGCATCACAACCATTTTCGGATTTATTTTACTCAGAATAACTAAGAAAACATTCGTAAGCTGTGCAGCTATCTGACTAGTTCACACTTGGTTTCCAATGAACCAACTAACACTTCGATATTTCAACTTACCACAGATCCAAAGTGTACCACATCATACGCGCATCAATAACTGTCCTAGTTATATGTTTGTAAAGCCAACTTATTCACCTACCCGACTGTATAACTCACCTTTATGGAGAAGCACATTTCAGCAGAAGTTAGAGGGGGCTTCATGTAAACCATAATGAGACATAAAACGTGCAAACTAAAACGTCAGAAAATTCTGGACTGAGTTTCTAGCGCAGAACTTTGCACAGAAGTACAGCAGCTGAAGTTGCTATACCTTAGAGGATACAAATGTAGCAGAAAGCATTAACTGAAGAGAACTAAGGCGAGTGAAAGTGTACAGAGGAATAGTTAATTACATGAGGAAATATTTGGATTTAATCGGTCCGGGAGATTACAACGAGTGAGTAGACCTGAGTCATTGAGAAAAATTTGGTGCAGATGCGCTAAGTGACCTATTCGAAATTTTTAAGAAGGTCAGAACTTTTGGTTGTAGAAATAAAAATTGGGTTGAAAATCCGTTGCAGTGAAACACATTTTACTCCTCAATAAATATTCAGCATACTATTTGTCCAGTAACGTTTGATAACTACCAAGAATATTCACCCTCCCCTAACTCATTATTAGTTTCATCTATCGAATGTCTAGATTAGCCTCGAGAGTCAAACACTGAACTTTCATATTAAAATTTAAATAATTGTAACAAAAGGATTTACTAACACAAACAGTGATCTCAAGCCCAAGAATTCACACAAATATTATTATTGAGCACTTATTTACGACAAAACTAATCTGAAACAATGTGTGAGCAGCAAAACATAACGTTAGGAAATACGTTAGTGCAAACCCAGATATTTTAAAAACAGCAAATATTAGGTGAAAATAGGTTAGAATTAATACGGTTACGTTAGACTTATAACGCAGACTTCTTACAAAGCTTTAAACACTTAAATGCTAGGAGGTAAATATAGCTACTCTATAGATGCCTATATAGCTGCCCTAAATTCTTAATAGATTTCATCAGGAAAATAATCAAAGAAATAACACCAACAATCGGGTTTTATTAAAAGAACTCCCATGGTAATCATACAACTCAAAGATGAGAAATCCAGGCAAAAAGGGTGGTAGCTACTAGGCTGAATAACACAAATATATTTTAACGATCGAAATTCACAATAATATCACCACATATGTTCGCGTCAGACATTTGCCTGCAACGATTTAATACCAAGTACGACAAATTTTCGTAGACAAACTTTGATTTTAACTGAGGATAGAATACCGTTAACGCAGCAGAGTGAACGCAACAACAGAAACTGGGAACTGTGACACAAAGAACTTCCATTATGAAGAATTCGATTGAAATAGCCTCAGTGATATACAGTAATATTTACTGATAACGTTTAGAGCACAACTTATTGCTCGTTATCATACCAAGTTATTCACACAAATTTATAACTTCATTTATTTAATTCCACTATTTTTCATCTCGATTTGATTGGTAGTAGTATTTCCCATATCTCTGGTATCGCCAATGAGTCATTCCTATTGTGTGTGTTGGGTGTAGATTTTGTGAACAAATATTCAGTAATCAATGTCCCTCTCCACCTAACCATATAACTTTCTGGAATTTTAACTGCACACCTTATTGTGTGGTTGTGTTAACGCACATAGTGCAGTTACTGAGCTTTTTTCCAAATTACTTATCTTTGCGGAGTCAATCATTCTACAATTAGCGAAACGATTATGTTCTGGGAACCTGACTACCCCCGATCTACTGATGTGACCTATGTAGTTGGCCTCACAGTTATTGTAAGGTATTTTATAAATTATATTATTCTGTCGAATTGGGCCAATAGGCTCCTTTAACCTACAGAACTTGTCCCTGAGTGAGTTTGTAGGTCTGAATGCCACCCTAATTCCTGCTTTATTAAGAATCCTACCTAGGGTCTCAGATGTCCTCTATTGATGTGGTATAACTGTATATACCCTATATTCTTTCTTATTTATATTATTACTATTGGTTCCACTATTATTTTTATTTTGCTTTTGAAGTTTTTGGTCTTCCTAATGAATTTTATATTGCATAGTTATTTAACACCAACACCTTCCATCTGTTTCATTTCATCATTTAGGTATTTTCGATGTACTACTTACTGTTCTTGATCGGTTTGTCAGACACTAAACCAGGCGTGCCTTCACAGATGAGGTGAATTGAAGTCTAAATATCTATTAGAATGCATTAGCTCTTTATAAACGCGTGACTAGTTTACCTTCTGTTCGTTTTATTTTGCGGTCTGACGTAGCTGTTACTCCTGTTTTATTTTCTGATTCAAATGTGAATTCTATCTCCTTTACCAGTGAGTTTGTGTGTGTGAAGAAACTAGAGATATCCTCTCTTTTCAACACTTTATGAAAGTGTCATCCACATATATCCACCATATCTTTGGAGTGGGATTAAATGTATAAAGAGTAATATTTCCCAGCTACCCATAGAAATATCTGCTCTGATTGGGAATATTGGTGATCCGGCTGCTACGCCTGTTTGCTTATATACTTTGTCCAGGAACTGACCCAATTCGACAGAATAATATAATTTATAAAATGCCTTACAATAACTGTGAAGCCAACTACATAGGTCACATCAGTAGATCGGGGGTAGTCAGGTTCCCAGAACATAATCGTTTCGCTAATTGTAGAATGATTGACTCCGCAAAGATAAGTAATTTGGAAAAAAGCTCAGTAACTGCACTATGTGCGTTAACACAACCACACAATAAGGTGTGCAGTTAAAATTCCAGAAAGTTATATGGTTAGGTGGAGAGGGACATTGATTACTGAATATTTGTTCACAAAATCTACACCCAACACACACAATAGGAATGACTCATTGGCGATACCAGAGATATGGGAAATACTACTACCAATCAAATCGAGATGAAAAATAGTGGAATTAAATAAATGAAGTTATAAATTTGTGTGAATAACTTGGTATGATAACGAGCAATAAGTTGTGCTCTAAACGTTATCAGTAAATATCACTGTGTAACACTGAGACAACCACAAGATATTCTTTCCAGGATGGGAATTAGGCTGGAGAGGGTGAAAAATAAGAGCATACAAAAACTTGATATCAAAGAACCTTATCTAAGATAATTGTAAATCATCTCAAAATACTCTATGAGATGTATATAACAAGAGGAAGCAGGCCTTGATCGGAGAAGCCGACGATTAAGTTGAGATCGCTCACCTTCCGCATGGGTTATAGTCGCTGTTTACCCAGTTTTGTCTGTAGATTTTTCAAGGTTACTTTTACGACTATGACAATTGATTCATGCCAACACACGTTTAACTCTTCGCAACAAACGTCCATGAACTATTGTTTGCAATAGATTCCAGTGAAAAGAACTTTTTAGTTATTAAATTATTTTCACGTTGCATCTAAGAAGCAAATATTTTTCTACGCCACGTGTGAGTTAGATAGGGAATGCATTTTATGGTTTCAAATAGGGATTAAACTGCAGTCAATTAAGACAAAAGCAATGGTCTATAGCTTTTAGTGGTTAGTGTGAGCGATACGCAAGTTATTAGCGAAAGAGCCTGCTGATGCTTACAACACGGTCTAGTGACTCATATGCAACCGTGATGTTCAGTCGCTCTAAACTCTAGATTTAAAGGGAGTGCGGAGAACATCAGAAAGTAAATATACTTTAAAGACTATTGTTATGCTATCGCGCCCCTGAAATACTACCTATATACAACGTGATATATATGAAGTATGAGAATAACAGCTTTAATGTTCCTTTAACTCACATTGGCTCAATTATGTATACCGCGTCGTGTACCGAATTCATGTCCAGGAATATTTATGTATGCAATAACTTATTCATAAAGATGTCTAGAATAATGCAGGTGTGAATTACACTTCTACTGATCGCTCAATATTTTTCTCTTTCCGGAAATATCCCAAATCACTGGATGTGAATGAATTTTCAATATGTAAAGGATTTTATAACACAGATTTCAAGTTGCTATTTGAATGTTATTATCTTTGGTGTAAATTGCTCTGTTTCTACGCTTGGTTGATCAGATACGTCGTATGTTTGTTAGTCATATATATTCTACGATACGATGACGTGGGCGTGTAACCGTTCAGAGATATGGATGATAGGAGGAGGTCACCAAGTAAACTCTGAGGCGATTTTCCAACCTAGGGTTGTAGGCGTACTGCTGTAAGTCCTGCAATTCTTCAAGGGTGGTACGTCGAGGCGTAGTCCATCCTAATTGGTGTGTTATTTTGTACATATGTTCATGTTGTATATACTGAATTGGTATCATCTCCCACTTATCTGTTGGTAATCTTGTTTGTGTCCAGATATTCTTCAACTTACAATAATCCACCCAAAAAGGGTTGCAGGCGTACTGGCGTAAATCCTGCAATTCTTCAAAAGAATTACATCAAGACATGATCTGCGAGGTTATGTGTGCTGTTTGTATATATTTGTGGAGTGTCATATCAATTGGTGTTTTTGGATTCAATGCGTTTACTTGTTGTTTTCGTAGTTAGTTGTATAGCATAATTTTGTTAAAATCTTCGTCGTGCTTACTTCTGAAGTTGTGTAGCGATAAATAATTCCCCAAAATTATTGACCACAGCAATCACTCACCATTGGTTGCTGACCACCACTGTTTAAGTCGACTTGTTTAGCTGAAGGCTTCCGGTCAAACATCCCCGCCATTTGGTACCCCGTCGAGTCATGTGCAAGATCACTAGCCAGCTAAGCGTTCGTCTGACGGCTTGTTTTGGTCCCGAAATATGTCACGAAGTTTAGACGATCAATTATTGGCTTTTGCTTTGTCTTTGGTACGCGAGAATATATTAATTAGAAGTTGCTGAACGAGATATCCGTCAACCTCTAAACCGGTGAGACCAACCGCGAACCTCATCTACGACAAATACGCAGATAACCCCGGTGAGTTCGTTCCATTTTGTATTTGTTCTGTACCATATATCATTCGACATAATTTTCGTCATGAGTGATCTTAGTCCCAAGGTCACCCGTATCCGCTCAACTCCTAAAACCATTCAGCTCGTACCATACTGACCAGATAATGCTGAAACGTGGTTTCAGCTAGCTGAAGCAGATTTTTGTGAGCATGGGATAACCAATCAACGTTCAAAGTTACTTGCAGTTATTCACGCCCTACCGCGGGAGTTCAGCAAGTACGTAACATCACAGATGTTCAGTCCCGAGGTAGGTAACTCGTACGAGTTGCTCAAAGCATCCCTCCTCAGGAGAAAAGTTCTCACGGAACGACAACGTCTGGACGAATTATTTCGTAACATCGATTTAGGAGATCAGTCAGCCGTGACCATGCTGACAAGAATGAGAGAAGTTATTGGCCAAAGTCAGTTCGACGAAGGACTATTTAGAGAACTCTTCTTATCCAAGCTGCCACAGTCTGTACAGACCGTACTTGTGACACTTCAGGGTGTTGTGATAGATGACTTAGCTATTTCTGCAGATAGGATTCTAGAAATAACCAAACGGTCAGTTCCCGAAATATGCTCGATGACTAAGCAGACTTCGAGTAAGGATATTTTATTTTTTTGTTTTTTTATTTTTCATTTTTGATTACAGCTTGATTCCACACCGTATTTTCGGTACAAGTACGGAATTTTCAGCGTGGATATTGGTAGCCGAAAATTCGCAGGCCAACCATAGATATCAGGTGTGCGTCGGCGAGGGCTCGAACCCCGGACCATAAGCATGGTCAGCGAGAGTCCTAACCACTGTGCCACCGATACTGCAATGATAGATTTATGCAACTCCATCCAGCAGATGTTTAGGTCGAACATGCATTCTAACTCCTCCGAGCGTCGTCCTAAATCTCCTCTACGCAGGAACTCACGTGGTCGATCTAAGTTCAAGCCACGTTCTCTGAAAAACCCTGACTGGTGCTGGTACCACAACACCTATGGCCAAGAAGCGAAGTGTTGCCGTAAGCCTTGTAACTTCGGAAATGTCTCAAAGTCTGTCGGAAACTATCCCGCCGGCACGCGTTAGCGGCAACCGTCGCCGGTGGCACTAGCCGCCTTCTTTACATCCATGATGTGATAAGCCAGACTCGATATTTAGTCGACACAGGCGCCGAAGTCAGCGTCCTTCCTGCTACAGCAGCAGATCGACAGAAAGAACCTAACTTCAACTTACAGGCTGCAAATGGAAAACCAATCGCAACCTTTGGTAGAAAATACGTCTATCTGAACGTAGGTTTACGCAAACCTATTCAATGGATTTTCCTTCTCGCTGACGTTACAATGCCCATCATTGGCACGGACCTACTTAATCATCATGATTTACTCGTAGACGTCCGCCGAAAACGACTGATTGACAATACTACTAGTCTGTCTATCAAAGGCATCAGCTACATAGGCCCTAGCTTGTCACCCGTTAAGATAAAGGCAATTCTTGATCCAACTTTTCAACCTATGTTGACAAGTATCCGGAACTTAATTGCCCGTCGAACGACCTACCGTGCATAACCAGCAATGTTATGCACCACATCATTACCACAGGACAACCTGTGACATCTAAAGCACGACGATTAGCTCCTGACAAACTGAGAATCGCCAGGAATGAATTTGACCATATGCTTACCCTTGGCATCATTCGACCTTCGAATAGCCCATGGGCATCCCCACTTCATATGGTTCCGAAAAAGGATAGCAATGATTGGCGACCCACCGGTGATTACCGGCGAGTGAATGCCAAAACAACCCCTGATTGCTACCCGTTGCCTCATATACACGACTTGACGGCAACATCATCTGGCGCGACTATATTCTCCAAAATCGACTTGGTTAAAGCGTATAACCAAATCCCGATGGCAACAGAAGATATCCCGAAAACGGCTATCATTACGCCTTTCGGACTTTTTGAATTTCTACGTATGCCATTCGGTCTCCGGAATGCAGCCCAAACATTCCAACGCTTCATTGACGAAGTATTTCGCGGTCTCGACTTTGTATACGCATACTTAGACGACTGCCTCATTGCCAGTCCAGACAAGGAAACTCACCTTAGGCACTTGGACTTGGCATTTGACAGGTTACGCCAACATGGTGTTACCATTAATATTCAAAAGTGTCAAATCGGTGTTGACTCACTCGACTTCCTGGGTCACACTATTGACTGCAAGGGCATTCGCCCACTGGCTACTAAGGTCGAGGCTATACTGAACTTTCCAGAGCCACAGACGGTGAAAAGTCTCCGCACTTTTAACGGCTTAGTAAGTTATTATCGACGCTTTATTCCCAACTGTGCCTCTCTGATTCAGCCATTGACAGACCTCCTTCGAGGGAATAACAAGTCCATAGAACTTGACGCGTCTGCTCGAAATGCTTTTACCCAGATTAAAAAAGCTATTGCGAATGCCACACTTCTGATGTATCAGGATCCAACGGCACCGTTAAGTATCTCGGTTGATGCATCAAACACTGCAATCGGCGCAGTTCTACAACAGCTAGTTGACAATGAGTGGCAACCACTCGCCTTTTTCCCCAGGTGCCTTCAATTAGCTGAAACGAAGTACAGCACATTCGGCAGAGAACTTCTGGCTATGTACTGTGCTATACGACATTTTCGACATTCAGTAGAGGGTCGTGAATTCATAATTTTTACTGATCACAAACCTCTGACGTACTCTCTGAACTCACCTTCAGATAAGTATTCACCCAGGGAATCACGACAACTGGATTACGTCTCACAGTTTACATCAGATATTCGCCATGTATCCGGAGTAAACAACACTGTGGCAGATGCCTTGTCGCGCGTTTGTTCCCTCACCCAAATCGACGGCATAGACCTTGTAAAACTGGCTCGTCTTCAAAAAGAAGATACCGAGCTTCAACATGAGTTGTCGAAAACAACCCTACAATTAGCTGAGAAACCCTTAGGTATGGGAAGAGATACTATTCTATGCGACATTTCCACGAGTACTCCTCGCCCCATCGTGCCTAAAAGTTATCGCCGTAACGTCTTCAATACGTTGCATGGCTTATCTCACCCAGGTATTCGAACTACTGTCAAGCTCGTAACTAGTCGGTTTTGTTGGCCTGGTATGAATAAAGAAGTAAGGGAATGGGCACACACGTGCTTAGCTTGTCAAAAGTGCAAGGTGATAAGACACACCAAAAGCCCACTTGGCACCTTTCTTCTCCCTGACGCTCGTTTTGAACACGTCCATATAGATTTG